GTGTGTTCTTTGACCTTCTCAAGTACAGAGTCCCCAGCCACTCTTCGCCTGGCCCCTTGTCTGCCATCTGTGTCCCAGGGAGGAGACGCCTGTGGCCGTCCTGCCCATTTGGTAGCTTATTAAATCTCAGCGCCACTTGCCAAGACCCCTTAAACTCTTGGCTGTTCTTTTTGCCTTTTCTGATCAGCTCTATTTATTCTGAACTAAGTGGTCCACGCTGCAGGATGAAAGGATTTACTCCTCAAGTATATGAAAGAAGCCTTGGCTGCATTACAATGGCACCCTCTCCCTGCGCCACTCCTGCTGTGCCCTCCCTGCGCCCTGGCCACTTGCTGGTGCCACGGAGACTGAGCGAGGAGCCGCTCCTGGTACAGCTGGCCCAGCCTGGTGGCGGGGTGCAGTGGAGGAGAAGTGAGGTGACTGGGAGGAGCTTGCTGTCGGGAGCCCTCTCCCCGAAGTCTTGCTGCCCGATGGGGAAATTGAGGCCCAGGAAGAGCTCGCTCGTGTGCGCATGTTCACTCACACACGTATGTGCATGCTCGCACACGCACACACGCTCACAGCCCCTCTTTCCCGTACAGGATTGTGCTCATGGACGATGCCATGGACTGCTTGATGTCTTTTTCGGATTTCCTCTTTGCCTTCCAGATCCAGTTTTACTACTCAGGTGAGAGTGTTCCAGGGCCAGGTGGCTCCTGTCAGGGCCACGTCTCCCTCTCCCACCCTGCTGCCTCTTCCCTCTGTGTCCTGGCACACGCGAGTCTGTGCTCCGCCTCCCTCGGGCTGCACATTCCCCAAGGGTCACAGCGGGGTGCCCGTTCCTGCTGGGGGTCCCAGGATTCGGGCTGCAGAGCTGGCTTCCTCGGCCTGAAGCCCTGCAGACCACACTGCCAGCCAGCAGTGCAGCAGGCCAGCTTAAGTGGCAGTGACAGTAACAATGACCACACGCCCTGCTTACTGGCCTCCTGTGTGCAGGCACAGCCCCGAGGGCTAGCTCATCCTCCCCAGCTCCCTAAGGGCCAGCCGTTAGGAGGGAAGTCGCAGAGGTGAGTGCCAGGCCACGTGGCTGTAAGCACAGAGCCCAGGCTGCACAGAAGGTGACTCGGGCCAGATGCTTGCCGCTGAGCTGCCATCCTAGCCACCCGCCATCCAGGGCTTTCCCTGGCCTCGGTCCCACGTAAGGCATGTCCTCCCACCCACACAGCCTTTCCGGGCACACGCAGGTCCTGTCACTCCCCCACGCCCGCCTGCCATTAGCTGGCCCTTCCGTCCCTCTGGAATCCAGTGGAATCAAAACTGATGAGTGACCCCGCAGGCCTCCCAGCGCACTCACCCAGCAGCCAGCGGGAGGCGGGGTTAGGAGCTGCTCCGCGCAGCGCAGACTTCTGTAACTGGCTCTTCCCGTCACTAGAAGGCCGGCTGTGGAGCCTGGGGATGGCCTTCCTGCCAACCAGCGGCCCCTACCAACCCTGGTCTCCCTGAGACACCCACTGTTTACCTGACGGCAGCCCAAGGGCGGTCCAGACCCAGGCTGGAACCGGGGCTCTCGCCACCTGCTCTTAGCATCCAGGCATCTCGTTTGCATTTCTCCGAGGTTCTCAGGCCCTAGACACGAAGCGGCCATGTTTGGGAGCCTTTTCCCATCACTACTTCCCCCAGCCCTGGGGTCCTCCTCCCACAGCTCTCCTAAGACAGGCAGCCACGTTGGCCATGGGCACCATTGCACTGTGCGGCGGTGTCAGGGATGCACCAGGCCGGACACTACTGGTAACAGTGGCTCAACTGCAGAAAATTGAAAGCAATTCCAAATGACAACTAACTTGGCAACTTGCGGGCTTTCTCTGTGCCTCACTGGTTTTCCGATAGGTTTTCTTGAGTTTGAGAGGCAGCTGGCCTCTCCAGATGGGCTTACCATGCATTCAGGACTACTGAGAGCATGCGCTGTGCCCAGCACCGGGCCAAGTGCCGGGGCGGGAGGGGTCCACCAGACCTGACCGCTGCCTTCATACAGGACCTTACGTCTCGGCAAGGGACAGGGTCAGCAAGTACTCACACAGAAAACCTGTTGTTGGAAAAGTGTTGTAAACAAGTCCGGAGTGCTGTGAGGATCTTACCCAGTCTAGGGACAACTGCCCAAGGTGACACCTATGTCACCTCTCAGGAGTGTGGTGGGCAAAGAAGGGTGAGGGCTCTGCCAAGGGCCCCATGCACTGAGCCCTGAGGCTGGTGTGGAGCCGAGCTGACAGACAGGAGGGCCCGGGGCAGGGGTGAAGTCTGCCTCTGTGCCCAAACCCATGCCCTGCACATGCCCCCAGAATTCCTGGACAGTGTGGCTGCCATCTATCAAGATCTGCTGTCGGGCAAGAACCCCAACACGGTCATTGTGCCGACTTCGTCCAGCGGGCAGCACCGCCAGCGACCTGCCCCCGGCGAGGCCAGCACGCTGGAGGGAGTGGAGGCATCGCAGTTCTACCAGTGCCTGGAGAGCCTGTGTGACCGGCATAAGTACAGGTGGGAACTGGGCGAGCAGACCCCACCTCGGCCGCGCTGTGGGCCAGACAGCCACAGCAGGGCCTCGTGATCGGCCCAGGGCTCCCGGGTCCCTGAGAGCAGACGGCTGCCTGGAAGGCTCTTCAGCTCACATAGAAAGGGCCATCTCTGCTGGGCACGATCAGCGGAAGAGGGCCAGCTTACCCGGAGGAATGTGGCCGTGGCTTTTAGAGAAGGGACACTCACTGTGTGAGGCTCTCTGAGAGAGAGGGCTAAACTGTTCTATGGGGCACAAAGCCCCCTTGGGGGCAGGGGACAGAGTGGCCAGTTCTGGTCTCCCCCAGAAGAGCCTGTCTCCTCCAGCCACCTCCTCCCTTGCCCCCTCCCCCACCGGGAAGCACCAGAGTGTGTGCAGCCCAGACCCTGCTCCCAAGGGCCTCAGGGCTCCCGAGCAGGGCTCCCGTGTCGGCTCTGGGTACCCTCCTAAGCCTGAAGGAATGAATGGATGACAGGACAGCCCTCCAACTCGCTGTCTTTGGATGTATATCCTCCCCTCTAGCTGCCCACCCCCAGCGCTTGTCAAAGAGGTCCTCAGCAATGCTCAGCGACTGACCTTCTACGGATTCCTTGTGGCTCTCTCAAAGCATCATGGGATCAACCAAGCCCTAGGTAAGTAGAGCCAGCTGTGCCCACCCCACCCACCCCACGGGACAGGGAGTCCTGGTCTATGGCAGAACAGGCCCCCCGGGGGAGGGAGCAGGACCCCCTCGGCCCTGACGTCCCAGGGCCAGATGTGATCCTGGGAGCCAGCATGCACACTGCCCTCTCAGGCCTCTTCCCACGGCAAGGGACGGCCTTCCCACCCAGCGAGGCCCTGTCCCGACATGAAGCAGCCTCTCTGCGGCAGAGGCATGCCCAGCCCCTCCCAGAGGCCCCAGTGCTGCCTTGGGAGCGGCCTGCAGGTTGGGCAGACACTGGGCTATTTACTCAGTGACTCTGGAGATTATATATCAAAGAAACCTGAATCCCATTTATAAACAGGGCAAAGGTGTGTCTGGGGAGGCTTTTTCTCCCAGCTGCAAAGAAAAAAATCTGATTACTGTAATCTTACAGGGATTCAGAAGAGGTGGGGAAGGCGGCACTGGCCTAGTTTCCCTGCCTGTCGAGGTAGTCTCACTGGCTGGCCTCCACACCCCCTTCCCTCTCCCTCGCCCACCGCTCTCCTAGGGGAAGACCAGCAGGTCACCATCCTGCTCGAGTTTAAGGAGTTCCTTTTTTGTAGTGTCTTGACTGTGTCCGTGACAGTGTGCACAAGAGAACACCCCCGCAGGGCCCCACCACCTCACAACCCCCTCTCCCAGCCCCAGCTCCTCGGGATCTGGAGCACACGAGAGCATGGGCCCGGCCTATGCTCAAGCCAGCCTGGGATCTGAACCCACAGTCAGCCAGATGGCTTCCAGCACTGCAGTTCAGTTTGCCAGCTCCTGTGCCACTACCTGGGCCAAAGGCTCTTCCTTGTGTCTCCCCAAGAGCTCCTTCTTGTGTGCCGGCCCTGGGTCCCCGAGTCTCAGAGAAAAGGCACCCAGCTTTCCCCTTCCCTTTGCCAGTTGAGGCAATAAGGTCAAGACAAGGGAAATTAACTGACTTGGTTAAATGCCAACCACGGTGGCCAAGACTCTGCCGGTGCTCTACAGTTCTCACACAACATGGGCCCTGCTGGGGCTGTTCTGGAATACCCAGGAACCCAAACCCAGCAGGACAGACTGAGGGCCCATGCAGGCATGCAAGCCACGGGCAGGCTGGCTATTCTGTCACTTCTTGGGGCCTCCACAGGTCTGGGGACCCTTCAACTAAGTGAGGTCGGTGGCCAAGGTCACTGCCCGGACTAGAACTAGAAAGGAAGTAAGACGAAGTCAGAATAAAGAGGAAGGTGAAGGGACCAGAAGGTGGTGTAAAGACTATGTTACTGGATTTCCACATGGTGAACCACGGTTCAATTCCCGGACCCAGCAGCTTAAACTTACACCAGGTGCATGTACATGCATGTCCAAAATCCTTAGAGGGAAGTAGAGAAGGAATTGCTACGTGGTCATCTCCCCTGCACAGGGGGGGGGGGGGATTTTTTCCTTTCTGTCTCTCTGGTGAGCATACACGCCCTATAGCAAAAATCTCTCTCACAAAAATCAGTCATTCATTCAATCAAACATGTGAGGCACTTGTGCGTGTGTGCCCAGAATCCCGAGAGGAAACTGGAGAAGAGACTGCAGTGTGGCCATCCTCCCAGAGGGTGATTTTCGGTTCTGTGTTTCTGTCTCTCTGGTGAACACACGCACCCTATAGCAAAAACCTCTCTTTAAAAAAGGGGGGGGGGGACAGGTAGAGTGTTTCTCAGGTGTTCTCTCTCACTCCTCGGTGTCTGGCCCCCCTCCCTTCCTTTCCACCACTTAAAACCACCAGGAACAGGAAAGCGAACTAGCAACTAGGTCACAGCCTGAACCAGCTTCAATCGAGCACTGGACAATTGGGGAAATGGAAGAGAAAGAATTGCAGCATGATCATACCCCATTAGGGTGGCCTTCTTCCTTTTTCTCTGTATCTCGCCTAAGTCTGGCAAGTGTACACACCCCCTGCCAGCTTACACACACACACACATTAACTCAGTAGCTTTTACCGAGCAGTAATGTTGGTTGGAAACAGAGGAAAAGAAGGCTGTGGAGGCCAGTGGATGGCGTGGAGGTTACAGTGGTTGGATCCCACATGGCTGACTGCATGGTTCAAGTCCCAGACTCGACAGCTTGAAAAGCAAGCCGGGTGCCTGTGCGTGCATGCCCAAGATACTGAGCGGAGTGGAGGAGAAGGGATTGCAGCATGGCTATCTCCCTGGGGGTGATTTCTTTCTCACCTTCTGGGAAGCACACACACCTTATGGCAAGCTAAAAAAAGGAAGGAAGGAAGGAAGCCACGGTCTCTGTCCTTGCCTGAATCTTCAATGAATGAAAGGAAGATCTGGAGATTCCTGGATTGCAGCGAACCATGGAGAGCAGTAGCCCTGCTCCTTTAGTCCCCAGGGCACCTCTAAAATATGACCGGGTCCATAAGACATAGTGTGAAAAACTACTCATTTAAAGCAACGGGGGCCAGGAGGCATCATCTGAAAAAGGTTTGTAAAGTCAGAAGTTGAACTGGTGCTCAGAGTCACCGGCGTCTGTCCGGAGACCGCACCACCAACCGCCAAGTCTAAGTCCTAAAGCACAGTGAGTTCTCCCCCCAGTTTGCTGGGACCTTCCCAGCAGCAAACCTCAGCCTCGCTGTCTCTCCCACTGCCGCAGCTCCTGGGAGCGCCAGCTCTTCGTTCACCTTAACCAAAACCAAAGAATTTGCTTATCTTAGCTGTAGCTAGAGACCAACACAGAGATGGGGGGTTGAGGCCTCAGAGATGAACAGCTCCCCTCCTGGCTGCTTCCGCCAGAGTACCCAGAGTACCAGCCGGAGTACCGTCTGATCCGGACCCCACCCCCACCGCCAGGAGCAGAGACAGCGTTTTTTACCATCTCTTTCAAAAGTGGGGCGTCCTTTGTGATTTAGGGGGCACAAAACCAGATAATGCCTGACCAGAGGGGTCAGTCTGGACTCATCCTTTCAGCCCAGTACCTGGGCCTGCAAGGGAGGCTCGCCCCCCAGCACCAGCCCGCAGCCCACCCTCTAGTCTTGGGAGGAGATTGCCCTGTGTGGCCACTGCCCCAAGGGGCGGGGGGCGGGGGGCAGCGAAAGCCCCTGAATTCATCAAGCAGCACCCGAGCAT